AGAGAGCCTCATTGACGCTCTCCTGAAGCCGCGTTAAGCCCACCAAAACGTGCTGATACAGTTGACGCAGACATGGGTGTTCAATGGTCACTGTATCGGGGCAAACATTATCGTTCAGTTCATTTTCGGACGCATTGATAACAGACTCACCATTCATTTACTGACCGGAGTAAAACGGCTTTCACTTGCCTTGGCGCATGCTTTGAAGTTCGTTATAAATCCGACTACTTATGAGTAGTCGAATTTCCCTCAACTTTTCCCCACCTCACGAAGGGCCTGATGGCAACCTGGCCTGAAGTTTTCGGAAGTCCCTTTCATGACGATGCACGCAGTGGATTTGCAAACACTTCAAGTCCACGGCATGACAAGTGTCAGGTTTCTTGTGGGGATTGCAATAACTCATAAGACATTAAATCATCAGATTTCTAAGGAATTTCGAAGCACTGCACACAGTTTCTGCTGGCGGTCTCTGCGTGTTGGAAATGTTGACGCTAAAGCTGGAACTTTGGCGGCCATGTTTGCCATTAAAAACTTGATTAGCTTGAATCAGGACGAAGAGTGTGATGAAGTCTTTTTCCAGAACCGGTCACTTGTGCTTCGTAACCACAATGCCAAATTGTGTAAATCTGAACCTATAGCTTCAGCGTTTGAGCCCTAGGAATTTCCGCGGCAAAAACTGAAGTCTATCACGAAATCCGTGAGCTTTTGTGACGTTCCGCCATGTCATCTGGTCTCCAAATTCCATCATGCATTTCAGGAATACAGTCGTTATTGTAAGGCTGTCTCCTGGATAGAGTTCCTCACTCAACTTTCCGCTATTCCTCTTAGTCGTTCGTATTACCCATGAGTGGCATGACTTGCGCACCATCCGCTACGCGGTTTCAGCTTTCGTTTGGGGTCCGTTTTCGCTTGCGATTTCGTACAAACTCTGTCCATTTTCGAGTGTTTACTCCGACAGGAAAACGAACCGGCCGAGGACCACCCCGGAACGCAGCGGACGGCAAACGAGAGCGCTATCCTCACTGTGAATTGAATAGCCACAGTGACAGTGCCATCCTCCTCACCTAAGACATCCGTCCGATTGACGTGCTGTTCAGTTATTAGAGGGAGCTGGCCTCCGGACGCACTGGGATTTGTGTGGATTTTACATACTGACGAATTCAGTGCACGAACCTCATGGGCCCTAATCACGTTTGCTAATTTGCGCCAGTTATAAAGTCAAAAAGGCACGTTACTGGGTATCAGGTTACAACAAGGGCTGTTTTGTTGTATGATTGCATACCTGGCCTCCGCGGGTAAATGATGCGAAGCGTCTTCAGGTTTTCGGCCACACCAATGCCGCAGAAGCACTGCTGGTCCCGGATGGCACCAACGGATTCGTAACGAGGTAATTGGAAGACGGGTACTTAGTTGTGCAGCAGACACCTCAGTTGCGGACAACATCCAGCACCCCAAACTAAGGCGGCTCGTCTATGTGCTGCAGATCCCTAAACATCGCCTACCGAGACGAGTGTTGTGCTCCGTGAGTCCTTCAGAGTGGTATAAACCGCGAGATGGACAACGTATCACTTGATGTAGGGGTGTGTGGAATAAATTACGGAGAGTTTAGGTGTTGTTGGTGCAGTTGTCTCTTAGGATAGAGTCCGTGTGACCTCATCTGTACTTAGCTAGAGAAGTTGCGAGAAATGGCGTTTGATCGACGTCAGTGGCGTGTGCGCTGTCATTTTCTTTCCAGACTGTCTGACTGAGCGCTTGGATGTGTAGGCGCCTGAAAATGCTTCCTACAGGTGTCCCTCTCACCCCATTCCTTTTCTTAAAAATAACTAAATAGACTTTATGGTTGTACGACAGTGAAACATTTGCACCAGTACCTATATTGCTCTATCTGACGGTGGCGATGATAAATTTTTTTTGGAGGCATATATGTCCAAGACGCTTCGGCTGAGTTGTCTTTTAAGCCAGTCAGCGCGATTGCCGTCGAACTATTCAGGCAGCCATGCCTTGTTATTGAAATACCTCATTGTGTTGAGTTCATCAGACTGATCGGGGAAACGTTGGCCAGCGTGTTTGGCTCAAGTGTCGTCCTGTTGATTGGCTGGCCGTAGCTCTTAGCTCTGCAGTGCTGTGCACACTACTGTTTGGTCCGGAAAACGTAAAATTCATTTTTCGTAATGCACTACTCATAAGGTTGCTGAAAATCCGTCGACAGCCCACGACCGGTTTCGCCTTTCTTGGCGCTCATCATGTAGGCAAAGTCCCCGGGTTTCCGTCAACCTTATGTTCTACTTGAAACCAAATTGCACGAAATTAGCGAATATATACTCACTTGCAAACTAATTTGGCAGTACCCATCCGCATGAACTCCGAAGTCGAACACGGCAGTCTGCATCCTTGAGAAACGCGTCTGAATCAATCATCCAAACTGAAGTGCATCGACTCGTCACACTGTCTTGATTGCTGTGAGGAAGTGGAGCCTGGGCAATATACAGGTATCATCGAATTTCATCTACAATGTCCACACAAAATCCTTCGGCGCGAATGAACAGATGGCATCCCAGATACCGACAATTTTCAGGAGCAAACACTACTGAAATCGAATGTAACTTGACTTGAAACTGGCTCTGATGGTGAGGCTGCTTGACACGAAACTCAAGTTTAGGATGTTGGATGCTCGGCATTCGGTTACTGAGACTAAGCTCAGGTAGGTTTAAAATCCAAGACTTTCATTTCAACTCATGGTAGGATCCAGAGTTCAGCAGAGCCTTGGAGAACAGCCGCCCATCCAGATGAGGACCTCTGAGATCTGACGCGTCTGCATGCTGCGCAACACACAAAGCAGTCAGTGTAGCTCCAACCTATGTAGTAAGGCCTGGACTATCCGGCTTTGCGTACTATTCCGTCAAGCCTTCCGGATCTGAAGTACACTCACCGGATTATTCGTTAAAATCAAGTAACTGGGGTATTGAGACAGTCTTACTCTAGTAACCAACCTGCACTTGCTTGATACTGTCATCCTAAGGACAACAGTATTGTTCGTACGATCAATCGAATACGGCCAGACTATCCAGTGACTGATGCCGCGGCTCACCGCATGCCATCCTGTTTTCGGTTCGCGACAAGCCCATGGTTTTATTCCTTCGAGACCGCAGGTTACGTCACGCTTGGTTCCACGTAAATCATCTATGGTTCCCAAGAAATGTAGTGACGCACAGCAGTCCAACCAACGCGAGCCGGAAAATCCAGTTCGGATACCATCCACTCATAATCGCTTCGTTTGTTGGCCCCCAGTTGATGGCAAAACGAGGACCTTGTTAGCAGTACAGGCCTCAGTAATCCGCGGAGAGATTCAAACTTGCAACCTCCCAGCTAACAGATGGAGCTTGAACCGGCGGCCGACGGAATTCAGTGCCAATCATCCACCAACCACGCAGTTCACATACTGTTTGGCCCATAAAATGACGACTTCTCGGATGAGAGCTTCATTCTTCCTTCTGAGCAGTCGGAAACCTTGGGAGTTTTCAAATGATAAAAAGACTTACTTGATTAGCTGCGTAGAGGAACAGTTCATAAGAGTGTGGATCGCTGATCACTAAAAATGTTGCACGCTAGTGTGCGTCAGTCGAGCGAAAGCAAGACTGCTATCGAGGGGAACATTGGTAGCTCAGGTAATATAGATAGTCGGTGTTCTTTTTGTTCTGCCAGACAATAGGGTTGGAAACGTTTAGTCGCCAACCAAGTTGATAGTAATAATGCGTAGTAAGTTACGTCAACGTGTTGAAGTTGAGTAGCTCTCTGTTTGAGGTGGGGAGGGGGATTATGACCGGTCAAACGGATAGTTCATCGACTGATCGGCCTTCACCTGAAGAACTGGCCCAAACGATCGATATTCTCGCTCCCGACGCCCTGAGAGTGCGCAATCTTTTAACTTCAGGGATGATGGAGAGTTATATGTATACCTGATAGTTCCACAATGTCGGAAAATTGCTTTGCAATCGTTGTGAACAGGTTCTTCTCTTCGGGGAAACTCAAATGGGAGTTGGAAGTTTGTTCGATGAACATCTGCGGATCTCACCCTCGGTAACCACTGAACTGGCCTAAGTTACAAGCGAATTCCGACTGACTGGGGTCGGATTCAGACTAGATGTGTCGAAAGTAACCATTAGATTCTCCATTCACATCACTTTGGTATGAGAGATACTGCTGTTCTGTTCAATCGGTAGAAAGTGTGCCACGCTCTCTACTTGATGTTTATCCCTAGTAGAGTTCGTCTGAACTGCATAGGACCTGATCTCCGAACCTTTGACGTGAGGAACGCATGTGCTTGTACTACTTGACCAGCGCATGTCAGACAAACCCGGGTTACCACCTGAACAGGCGAGCGTGTGGAAGTTTTAGCGAGCTGTGTCGTCGGTTCAACACCTCGGACGATGACCCGGTAATGGTTCTGGCTATGTCGGTCAACCAAAAACGCCTCTGAGGAGTTCCCAGGATCGAGGGATGCTAGAAGCTGCGGACCTTGTAAAAGTTGTATCTGAATCACTTCTACTCAAGCAGTTCGGCGTCAGTTAGGTGTACTAATTCACGCATGTTGGAATGGGACTTCACCCACCCAAATACCGAATCCTCGACGCCTAACACCTAGTCAAGCTCTGTTAGGATCTAGACTCAAGCCCAGAACTTTTACTCTTTGGCGAATACTCGCGCCAAGACATGAAAACTAGTCAAACTAGGGGGTGTGGATACAGGTCCTATAAACAACTCAGTCACTTACAATCTCTACGCGATTTAATTCACAGAGAGAGCACCGTTGATGAATTTCCACTGTAAAATGCGCGGGAATTTTCTACTTGACTTAAGCAGTTACCAAGCATCTCCGGTTAAATGTCCTTAAGCGAGAAGTAACCACGGTGTGGTGGAAGTCATCCCTTTGTGTAAACAGGGAGAGTAGTATGCAAAACTCCGCAAGTTCCCCAGACAATGACCATATCTCAGAAGAGTGTGTAGATCACAGCTCTCTTTCGACAAAAAGAACATACAGCATAAACCGAGATAGATGAATAATTCACAATCGGTGCACATACGAGTAAAGCGACAGTGTGTACAAAGCACGGAAAACCGGGACCGTTAGAAAAAACAACACTGGAGAAAGTAAAGAACTCCACGGGTAGGGGCCGATCGGTTTGCTTCCAATGAACGGTCAAGATTCACGATTCAACAGGAGATACATACCCATGGTTCCCAAAACGGCGTACTGCAATGAAAGGAGTAGAACATTGATTAGAACCACACCGGCAACGCTTTTGGGGCATCGGTGGTCGAAAACCTGGAGACGCCTCACATCGCCTGTCTGTAGAGGCTGTCTCACAACCATACAACAACACAGCCCATTACTTATTGGTTCCGTGTGGTCATCGTCAACGACAGCATGACATCAGCGTTCAACATCGATGCTTCGCTACGGTACAACCATGATTTATTTGAAAGCCTTATTGTGAAGAAAAGAATAAAGGTGGACGGGGATGGGAGTTAGTGTTAGCTTACTACAAACATTCAGGCAAGCTGGATAGAAACTGACAGCAAAATCGCCAATGACATCGGTTGGCAGCCATATCTTGCAGCGTCTCGAACCAGGCACAGTGAGGATCACGTGGTCCCCATCCTGGAAGGCGAGTAGCACCGACAGCACCCAAACGTTTCGTGATTTCTTTCATACCCCTCTGCCAGGTCAAGGGTGTGGTGCCACGAAGATACTGTGGTGCACTTTCGTGTCACATGACAAAAAGGCACACTAATGGAAGTGTACGGTCCCACCCAACCGCTGGTTGACAACCGGCTTATGCGCACTTTTTCGGGAAAAACAGTGCATGTCAGACGCCAGCGAGAAACAGTGGTGTTGCCAGCGCTCGATACGATTCGAAGCTTGCACTCAGATCACCAAGCATCAGGCTTAAATGTTGCAGAACGATCACTATCCGGTAAGTCGGTTTTCTGCAAAAGGTTCAGCGCATTAAATCACTTTGCACAGTCGTTAACCCATACAATGGTTTGTACATGAATGACGTCGCAGCTTGCATCTATTGTAAACCTGTGAGTTGACCAGTTAGGTCGGACAGGCTGTGCTGTAGCGGTGTGTGTGCGTGTGTGAGCATCGAAAAAGATCAAAGGAAACATTGATGACTTGCCGCAATCGAACCGATTTGAGACCTCAACTTCCGAATGGGTCGTCCCCTTATTGACAGACGCATGCGACGCTGTTTCACTTTACTTGCAACGCAGATGTTCGTCAGCGAATACGCAGCCTACTAAAAAATGGTGCAAGGCTTATGACACGCCAATTGTACCGAAAGTTTAAAAGCACCGCAACACCCTTCCGATGCTTGGCTGCCATGCCACGTGAGCGGAGCGCGAGGGCTGAAATCCCCCAAGGGGCAGTTGAGATGCCTGGGCTGGGTTCGCACCCTGAACCTTTCAGACAGTGGGCTCGCGTCTAAACCATCGAGCTATCTGGAGCTCAAAATGGGGGGCTACAAGGTGAAATTTTACTACTTAATGGTAAAAGACGGCACGTAGCTTAACATGTAAAGGTTTTCGCGCTTCCCTTAAACAGCGCTCCGCATTTTTTTATCAAGTGACGCAAGAGCTTACATGTTCCGTGGGCAGCACGTCGAAACCGATCATAAATTCAGTGAAGTTGTCTAAAGCGATATATCGAACATGCCCTGACCGAGTGAGTAAAACCAAGAAAACGCGGGAGGGATTAACCAAATTTTACACATCATGTTTCAGTCCTTGAAGATGCACACCTCGCGGAATAGGAGTCACGACGATTCATACAATCGCAAGTTCAAATGTGAGAAACCTGAGGGCTTACCTTCAACTTCGGGTTGTCGTTCATGATTATGGTGACTTGCCCCACATGAGGAATGAACCTGCCGGGGAGGGGTGATTAGAAACAGAGGTAAGTCTGGGAGCATATTTTACAAAGGTGTTTGGAAATCTATATTAAAAGAAAGATGAGATAATCGTTCAGCTGTAGCACCCTTTCGGAGCCTCGCTGCCATGCCACCAGAAGGAAGCACGAGGGACGAGATACTAGCGGGTTGCTCAAGTATAGACAGGGGAAGTCGAGAGGCAGAGGTCGAGTTCGAAGCACGGACCTTCCGGTCAGTAGATCCGCGCTCTAACCACTGACCCATCTCGCACGATGGCCAAAGCCTAGACAGGAGTAGTCGAGACGACACGGTTGGGTTCGAACCCCGAATCTCCCAGTCACTCATTTCTCACCTTAATCACTGAGTTATTCCAAGCAAGCAATAAAAGCTGATTACCTCATTAAGATCGTTGGTCTTTGAAACAAGTCCACTGAAAGTAAGGCAACTGCTCATCAATCGTGTGCATCCATGAGAATATTTTGCAATATGAAGTGAAGATGCCAAACTTTAAGGTCAAAAAACATCATGTCTCAGATGTTCCAGGCGAAGATTTCCAACAATAATGGGACAGTCTACCTGAAAATAAACTGCTGCTCAACGAAAAAACCCCAGAGTTGGGATCCCACTTTAGAAGTGGTTCACTTCCGAGCCGACAACACAGAAGTTACCGTGAATATTTCTCCGTAAAAAGTCACTAGTGAGTTTAAGGACTTACCCTTTGGCACGCCCGAGGATTTGCGATGGCACAATCCAGTCCTGTCCTGGAGCGTACAGTCCGCGGTCATGCACGGGGTTGTTGTCACCTTTAGTGAGCAATTTCACAGTTCCATTGACGCTGAATTCAAAAAAAAAACAGAATAACACTGTGAGCAAACCAGAAGCCGAAGCTGGGGGAGGGATAAGGGCACCTGATAAGTTACTTGTCGTCCCAGTGCGAACATGAAGCAAGGCGCTCTCGTTTATGATATTCTACAATTGATGAGCTCTGACGAGCCCCAAAACGGGCGAAACCGGTCGTGAGCTGTCGAAGAGTTTCCAGCAACCTTGTGAGTAGCTTCCTTTATGAAAATATACTGAGATATCTCGAATATCGTGCCAACTGAATCATGAGGCGGTCAGTGTGCAGTACATTCAGTTGTAGAATATCATAAAAAGAGAGATTCAGTTGAGTATCTCGTGAAAAACAAATTGATTTGCAAGTGAGTGTATTTCCAAAAAATAGTCCAATTTGGGTTCCAGTAGAACATAACGTCAACGGAAACTCGGAGACTGCGCCTACTTGATTAGCACCAAGATGGGCGAAACCGGTCGTAGGCTGTCGAGGAGTTTTCAGCAACCTTGTGAGTAGTTTCCTTCATGAAAATAAAACAAGGCGGCTTGAAATGAGTGAAGGAAACGGATGTGTCGGTTTTCTCGACGGAACACTAGTCATAAGGTTGCTGTAAACTCCTGAACAGACCCTGTTCAGGCTCATTAAAGGTGTAGTCCGCGAGTTGCAGTCAACCACGATTCACGAAATGGACTAATTTATGACGATAATAATAATAATGACAGTCGTAATCCACCACTTATAAGGTTGCTGAAAATTCTTCGGCAGCCTACGAGCGGTTTCGCCCTTCTAGGGGCTAATCAGATAGGCGCAGTCCCCCGGGTTTCCGTCGACCCTATGTTCTACTCGGAGCCCAATTGCACGAAATTAGCGAAATACACTCCCACCTGGAACGCAGCTGAATCTCTCGTTTCTGATGTTTTTAAGCAACTGAATGTGCTGCACCAGACCGCCTCATGTTTCAGTTGCTACGATATTCGAGATATCGCGATACATGTACATACGTAACGCACTACTAATAGGGAGATATCACAAACGAGATTTAGCTGGGTTCCAGGCGAGTCTCTTGCAAAACCAAATGAGTGTATTTCGCTAATAATGATAATCGTTCAGCTGTAGCACCCTTTCGGCGCCTAGCTGCCATGCTACCCGAAGGGCTGGGATACCGTCAGGTTGCCCAAGCCTAGGCAGCGGAAGTCGAAAGCCAGAGGCCGTGTTCGAACCACGGGCCTTCCGATCAGTAAATTCACGCTTCAATCGGTGAGCTATCTCGCTCTCGCTAATTCGTACACTAATTTATTGGTAAAGGTAGACTCAACTGAATTTCTGTTATATGTCTGCTGCACAAAGACAACCTCGGTTTCAGTCGCTACGATAGCCCAGATATCTCGGTGCATTTTCCTGACGGAGCACATCCCATTTTGCTTGTCACCTTGCACCTCGGGGAACGGAGGTGGGTAACATACGAACGATGCGGTTATTCAGACCAAAGTAAGTCTCCTTATGGCACCCAGCCTGAACCAAAAGTGCAGGGTAGAACAGCGAAGTGCGGAGTCTGAAATTCACTGGGAGCTAGCAATCACGAGAATTCAGATGTCCCATAATTGGTAACACCACCGAAAAAGTCGAATGCACCCCAGCAGATTGTACGCATGTGAAGGCCAATCAAGCTGACATGTTGTAACAAGCCCAATGGAACCTTACATACCATTCGTGTAGCCTCACCTCCTCCTCCTCATCATCATCATCAAAGACAGCAACATCAATGTTGGCACTGATGCTTCACTGCCGTAAATTCACCTAGTTATAT